CAAGAAGAAAAACATTTTTGTGTGGAGGGGGAATTTAAAATGGTTCCTCAGAATCAGCCAGAATCAGAAAGCTTTACTTTACTCCAGTAGTGTTCATCATTATCTATTGTATTTTCCAGCCTTGGTGTCGAATTTGAGTAGCAAGATATCAGGACAGCTTACCTACGGTGTAATTTGTGTGTTTATTTTAAGCATAAAGGTAATTATTAGAAATGTAAACAACTAGAGATGATAAGTAGCTCATTATAGAAGTGAGAAGTTTCAACATGGAGATCTTTATTAAAGCTCAGTTTTCCATTGTACAAATGTCATCATAGTTGAAACTGCATGCAGTGGCTTGGTTTGAGGCACATTACTAAGAAGAATGAGCATTGTTGGAACAAAAACAAAATAAAAAAAATGAACCAAAAAAACCCCAAAAAACATTAAATTGCATAACTTAATCTTATCGATATTGCAATTAAATCCAACTACAAAATTATATGTCCATTACTATCAAGCTGTTGTTTTCTAGGGAGACGTGTAACAGAAAATACCCATGTATAAAAGGCAGAACAGAGGGAGAAACACTAATAGCAGTTAAGACAATTTAGGAAAACCATTCATTTTGCATTAGGAGTATTTTGCCACTAAAGTTTAAGGATTTAACAAAGGATGAGAGGCACAAAGACAAATTCTGGAGGCATGAGAACCACCACGTCCGGGTGAGATGTGTCTATCAGGGTACAATACACTTTTTAAAACTCAGTTAAACCTGAGCACTGTATTCGCTGAGGTCTAAATGACGAGACAGAAGACTGGAGATTATGATGTTTTGAGAACAAAACATAAAAATTAAGCAGTAATGCCTTTATGAGACACCGTGAACTTGAATGTTTGAAATGGCATCGGACAGTTCTCTTACACTGACCTTTGACACTACAGAGCGACACACTTAATAAGGTGAACTTCCTGCTGGATGTATGATTCTGTTATGCTGATAAAGCACCAAGGCTTGGTGAAAACAAGACATAATGTGCAAAAATGTGCCCCTGCACAACAAAAGAGCAGCCAAATAATGATGAAAAGACAACAGCAATTTACACAATGTGGTTATAAACTCTACTGTACTTATAATTTTGTTATTAGTTAGTCCTCTCGTCACGTTTATTCTTCATAAAAAGCATACATATTGCAGCATGAGGAGAAACCGTGTTATATCCTCCTTTCTGAAAACAGAGTCCATGTTGGGTCACACCAAAGTAATAAAGAAAAAAAACAATAGAACAGGCACATACAAATTTACCCATCATATTGGCCTCCTGCACAACTGCACACTAGTCATCATACTGAAGCTAATCTTGGGTTGACTGCTGCCCACGATGTGTGCAGCAACAAGTCAAGAGCTCGTCAACAAATGTAGCTTGGAGAAGATCGTCAGAGGAGCCCACAACGTTATATATCACCACAGCATATTCTACTTTTGGCAAAACAAAAAAAGCTTAAAAAGTATTGATTGGTCACATAGGTCGTCTGTTCAGTTTTACTTTAAACAGACAACCTTCTTCATAGCACAGTATACAGGCAGAAAGTGAAAATGAACAAATAGAGAGAGGATAGTCTTAGGTTGAGAACATTTTGACCTACAACAGTAAGACAAAAACATCCAACAAAAAAAGGCAGGAAACAATTGCTGAAGACTTTTAAATTCTACTTCTGCTATTCTTTCTTTTCATGACACTATGTTTTGCTTGTTTTCATGTTCAGCTCATCCCAGAATGCAACCTGAGGCACAACATCAAAGTCCACTTTCTGAACTTTCACAGCTTCTCGCCGCTTGCCTTTAATGGTTGACCTAACAAAAAGGAAGCAGCAATTTACCTTTTCATCGTAAAGAGGAAATACACTGTTTTACATGGATCAAAAAAGGACAATATATTATCAATAACCAACATTAATCAATCCCTATCGCCAAAAATATTAAGACCAGGGAGGAGTGGTGGGGGAGAGCAGAGTAGTAGCGCCTTTGCACGTGCGCTCGTCACAGTACGGTCTGCCTTCCATGGGAATGTTGAAGAGAGGGGTGGAGGTACAGGACATAGGGAGGGAGGGCGGGTGAGGAAAGGAGGGAGAGAGGAAGGAGGACAGAAAAGGAGA